CATGAAACGCAGGAACACTGACTAATGGATGGATGTGTCCCAAAATTAATTAGCCTGACTAATGTAGTGTGTACTTAATGCCACGGCTGCCTTTGATTTATGACGGGCCAAATGCACAAACGCTGTATGAAATGGAGCTTTATTGTGTAAGAATGAATTGACACACACACACACACACACACACACACGGCAGCAAGGTCTCCATCCGCCACAGATTCTGCCATGTGTGCATGTACACAAACGCATATGGACAAACACACAAGCCAGCACACACACACACACACGAAATCACTCTCTCTCCAACACACACACACACTCTTACACATGCACACTAAAAAATGATCAAAAAGGTGTTATAATACAGATAACCTGTCATAAACGTAATATATAACATAACATATAATAACAAAACATGACATGATTTTCCAATTGTGATCACAGGCATCCCCAATCGAAACACACACACACACACACACACCTTTACAGTTTTTCCCTCTTCCTGTGTAAAAACAAACCGATCTGACACCGACACATGGACATTAATTATAAAGCTCTTCAAATGTTGAAAAATGAAAGTTTTATGAGCCTCTGTCTCCTCATTAATGAGTCGTTTACAATACTCGTTTACAGCGAGGGCCCCACCTTTAATTCCACCGGCCCTCAGAAACACTCAGCACAATGAACACACACTCACACACACACAGAGAGAGATTGATGTTTCCGTGCGCCACAGACAGAGGGCGCTGTCCTCGTCAACACACTCCAATTAAAAGCAGCACACGTTGTGTGACGAGCTCAGTAGATCACGTCAGTAATTAACCCCGCCATCAATCCTGGGATCCCAACGCCCAACATTCCCCCACAAATTAAATTTACATTCTATTAAGTTTAATTAGGAGGGATTTTAAATATACTCGAGCCGAGCCGCTGTCACTACACACACTGATTCACTACCGGCTGAGCCCTGAGGTCCCGTCATATCCCAGCATGCACCTGTGCCACGGCGGGGTCGAACGGACACAGGTGGTCACCTCACATCTGTCACACACACACACACACACTTCTCTGATTAGTTCAATAAGAGACACTAAAATATGTATCCTGAGACTTTAACCTCGACAAAAGAAAATATGCTGCAAAAAACAAACAATTCATTTTCAGATATATAAATGTATGAGTCATCTTTAAGAATGTACTGTATAAAATGTCTTTATAAAATATTAAGTTAAACTATCTTTAAGTATAAATGTATGTATTATCTTTAAGAATGTACTGTATAAAATGTTTTTATTAAATACTATTTTACACTTAAAATATATTTGAACTTTATTTTATATTTACACTTTTTAAATGATTAAATACATTTTATACTTACAAATATTTTAAGTATAAGATATCTATCAAAAGTATAAATTAATACTTAAAGTGTAAACTAGTATAAATATGAAAATACTTTTAGGTATATATTTATACCACTTTATATTTAAATATATTTTAAGTACAAAATTATACCTTTCTAAAAAAGTATAAATAAAATACAACTATAAACCGATATTGAAATATTTATATTTAAAAAATATTTGTATACATTTGGTGTCTATAACTATAAAATATATTTATAAAAACTATAATAGTGTAAAAACCAAGTTATAAAATATCTGTAATCTTGTTAAAAACTGACAGAGCAGTCAGACAAGATACAGAATCATTAGCGGACGCTTCAGACGCACATCTGAATAAACTGTTGTGAATAAGTGTGTGTGTGTGTGTGTGTGTGTGTGTGTGTACAAGTGTAAATCAATCTCTAGTTAAACTGCAGGAAAAAAAATAAAAAATAAATCAATACAGCGGCGCAATCTGAGCCGATCTCGGACCGAACACTAATTGTGTGGCTGACATTAATTGTCATTAAAGTGTTGAACTAGTTCCTCACTGCCAGACCAACACACACACACACACACACACACACACACACACACACACACTCACTCATTCAAGGCTACCTTGTTTATGTGTAGACTTTACTGCACACACACACGCACACACACACACACACACACACACACACTAAATCAGACGTCTATAAGAGCAGCGGATCTATTTTAACGAGTGCTGGCCGGTGATGACATCATACATGAGAGCGCCAGCCTTCAGGAACAGGTAAAACACCTCACATAAACCAGCTTTTACAAGTCCTGTGTGTGTGTGTGTGTAAGAGAGAGGGGGGGGGGGGGGGGGCTGCTATGTGGTTGCTATGCAGGGTGCTGCTATGTGGTTACCAGGGTATGCTGGGCGGTTGCCAGGGTGCTGCTATGTGATTACCAGGGTATGCTGTGTGGTTGCGAGGTTGTTGCTATGTGGTTGCAAAGGTGGTTGCTAGGGTGTTGCTATGTGGTTGCCAGAGTATGCTGAGTGGTTACAAGGGTGTTGCTATGTGGTTGCCAGGGTATGCTGAGTGGTTACAAGGGTGTTGCTATGTGGTTGCCAGGGTATGCTGAGTGGTTACAAAGGGTGTTGCTATGTGGTTGCCAGGGTATGCTGAGTGGTTACAAGGGTGTTGCTATGTGGTTGCCAGGGTATGCTGAGTGGTTACAAGGGTGTTGCTATGTGGTTGCCAGGGTATGCTGAGTGGTTACAAGGGTGTTGCTATGTGGTTGCCAGGGTATGCTGAGTGGTTACAAGGGTGTTGCTATGTGGTTGCCAGGGTATGCTGAGTGGTTACAAAGGGTGTTGCTATGTGGTTGCCAGGGTATTCTGAGTGGTTACAAGGGTGTTGCTATGTGGTTGCCAGGGTATGCTGAGTGGTTACAAGGGTGTTGCTATGTGGTTGCCAGGGTATGCTGAGTGGTTACAAGGGTGTTGCCATGTTGTTGCCTGGGTATGCCGAGTGGTTACAAGGGTGTTGCCATGTGGTTGCCAGGGTATGCTGAGTGGTTACAAGGGTGTTGCTATGTGGTAGCCAGGGTATGCTGAGTGGTTACAAGGGTGTTGCTATGTGGTTGCCAGGGTATGCTGAGTGGTTACAAGGGTGTTGCTATGTGGTTGCCAGGGTATGCTGAGTGGTTACAAGGGTGTTGCTATGTGGTTGCCAGGGTATGCTGAGTGGTTACAAGGGTGTTGCTATGTGGTTGCCAGGGTATGCTGAGTGGTTACAAGGGTGTTGCTATGTGGTTGCCAGGGTATGCTGAGTGGTTACAAGGGTGTTGCTATGTGGTTGCCAGGGTATGCTGAGTTGTTGCAAGGGTGTTGCTATGTGGTTGCCAGGGTATGCTGAGTGGTTACAAGGGTGTTGCTATGTGGTTGCCAGGGTATGCTGAGTGGTTACAAGGGTGTTGCTATGTGGTTGCCAGGGTATGCTGAGTGGTTACAAGGGTGTTGCTATGTGGTTGCCAGGGTATGCTGAGTGGTTACAAGGGTGTTGCTATGTGGTTGCCAGGGTATGCTGAGTGGTTACAAGGGTGTTGCTATTTGGTTGCCAGGGTATGCTGAGTGGTTACAAGGGTGTTGCTATGTGGTTGCCAGGGTATGCTGAGTGGTTACAAGGGTGTTGCTATGTGGTTGCCAGGGTATGCTGAGTGGTTACAAGGGTGTTGCTATGTGGTTGCCAGGGTATGCTGAGTTGTTGCAAGGGTGTTGCTATGTGGTTGCCAGGGTATGCTGAGTGGTTACAAGGGTGTTGCTATGTGGTTGCCAGGGTATGCTGAGTGGTTACAAGGGTGTTGCTATGTGGTTGCCAGGGTATGCTGAGTGGTTACAAGGGTGTTGCTATGTTGTTGCCAGGGTATGCTGAGTGGTTACAAGGGTGTTGCTATGTGGTTGCCAGGGTATGCTGAGTGGTTACAAGGGTGTTGCTATGTGGTTGCCAGGGTATGCTGAGTGGTTACAAGGGTGTTGCTATGTGGTTGCCAGGGTATGCTGAGTTGTTGCAAGGGTGTTGCTATGTGGTTGCCAGGGTATGCTGAGTGGTTACAAGGGTGTTGCTTTTTTTCGCCTTTGTCACCTTTTGCTTTTGGCTTGCTTAGTTGGGGACATTTAATATAATATTCAAAAATATTATTGATCTCCTGCATTGACACCATTATATGAGAACTGAACTGGACGATAACATCACAGTTTTCTCCAGAGTGTCTATATATATATATATATATATATATATATATATATATATAAACTAATTTAATAACTTTTTTAAAAAACATGAACCATCTCTGAACTTTCTTAAGGCGGACTGTGATGATATTTTCTTGTAGAAACAAACTGTGTGGCATTATTCTCCTGTTATCTCTGTAAAGCTGCCCTGAAACACTCGCTGTATAAATAAAGCTGACTTGACTCGTTGCTAGGTGGTTGCTAGGATATGAAAATAATAAGGAAAGTGCATTAGTGTGGACAAGGCCTTGAGCTGAACCACACAAGATGAAACCCGTCCTGCATCATTAGATCGCGAACAGCAATTCAATGAGCACCTCCTTCCTGTCACACACAGGACCTGAGAGAGAACAATGAGCGCGTCTCACACACAGGACCTGAGTGAGAACAATGAGCGCGTCTCACACACAGCGCTGGTTTACGGCCCGCAGATATACGGCTCATTAGGGCCCTCAGGAGCCCAGCTGTGTTTGCGGATCGGCCCTTGTGAGCTTTGTTATGTGAGGAGGCTTTTCACACACACTCACACTCATTGTGTGCTAATGATGCCTTTTAAAACACCCTTCAGAGGGAGAAACGCAACACACACTGAAGAGCTCTCCTCCATTCATTTTCAGCAGGTCTGTACCGAGTCCTGTAGGACGACCAAATCCAATAGTTCTGCTTATGAGCGATGCAGACGAGCAGATGAACCAGAACATAATTCATCATAATTTCAAATATCATATATATATATATTAGAGGTTTAACAAATGTAGTACTTTAAAAACATATGATAAAATGCTATTGTGAGCAGGGCTGGAGTGTGTGACCGAGAGCATTTCATGCTTGTGTGTGTGTGTTTGACTGACCTCAATGACCTGCTTGGAGTCCAACCTGAAGTTAAAGTCCCCGAAGATGAAATACGGCAGTCGCTCGAAGCGTTGATCCGTGATCCTGCACACACACACACACACACACACACACACAAGTCAGACATGATCTGTGCAGCAGCCCCACCTAGTGGACGAGTGTGTGTGAGTGACAGATGATTGACAGCTGATCGGCAGTGATGTCACACTCTAACTGAACGTGTGTGTGTGTCTGTGTGTGTGTGTGTGTGTGTGTGTGTTGTTCAGTTCACTCTCAGTACAATTCATGAAGTGCCGAACTCAAGAGGTCTCAGAAACGCCTCTTTCCGCTTAAAAAACGCACCTTAAACGAGGAATAATTAACTCCCCACAGCAAATAATTTACTTGAGAGAGTGATGAAGAATTGGAGCTGGAGTGTGTGTGACAGTGTGAGTGTGTGTGTATATATGGATTAATGGAAAGAGGATGCTAGGCCGGCTAATCGCCGGGATAAATCTCAGCTCACTCCCAACACCTAATAACAATGTATTTATGGCCCCGTAAAAGAGAAGGCTCTCCACGCTCATAAAACACACACTTTTACATCTCCGGCGCTACACACACACACACACACTCGAGCTCACCATCTCAAACTGGTCTGAGTAAAACACAGAAATGATGACATCTCATACACACCCGAGGGTAAAACACTCACTGGAGGTCCAGTTTCTCTCAGTACAGGTGAACCAAACACCAGATATAATATCCATAGTGTGATATGGACACTGTAGTTTATTTATGTAAGTGAGGAGAGTATTATAAAGTAAACAGATATATTATATTCAATCATATTGTGTTTTCTGTAAGCTCTTTTTCCACACACACTGAACAACATGAAGCATTGATTGGTCACTGGTTGAGCTAAACTGGTATTCTCTAATTGTGGAGTTCAATTGAACAGCTGACAGATATTCAACATAACTCATGTGTGTGTGTGTGTGTGTGTGTGAGAGAGAGAGAGAGTCCAACAGAAGGACGGACAAAACCAGTCAAATATCAAACACTGATCTGCTCATATTATCACCGTTCTCCAAACTAGAGCCAATAAACTGATGATGATGATGATGAAGGAGTCTGAATAATGCTGGTGTGACTGAATAAGTGTGTCTGAAAGGAGAGCGGTTAGAGCTGGAGTGAAGCGTCTCTCTCTCTCTGTGTGTGTGTGTGTGTGAGAGGCTTTATCTCAGTAATAGGCATGTCTAATGCGCTGGTTTTGTCCTCAGACTCGAGTCATGAGCGGCGGGTCAGAAGGTAACGCTCTGTTTACACGCTCGTTTCCTAAAGCTCTAGCGCTGACTTTTAGCCCGGCCCCGGGCCCCTGAGGGCCACACATTAGACTCGTCAATGGGTCAGGTGGGGGGTCCCACACACACAGAGTTTCCATATTCATATTCTATCCAAATCACATGCAGGAGACGAGAAGAAACCAACACATCATTTCAATAAATAGTACTCTGCAATATTTATTTATATATTATTACATTAATATATGTAAAAAAAAAAGTTTTGTTTCTATAGTTACATGTATTTCTAATCTTATTTATTTATAAAATGTTTTTAATATAATTACAATATATTTTTTAATTCATTTTATTAAAAATTTTAATTTTACTGTACATTTTGTGTCTGTAGTAAAATGTATGTTTTTATTATTTATATTTAATATTTATTTTATTTAAATATTTTAAATCATGTCAAATTTACATGCGGTAAGATATTTTTGTCAGTAATGAAATGTATTTTTTTTAATATTTATTTCTATTCAATATTTATTAAATTATCCATATAAAGGATTTTAATATATATTTATTATAATTAATATTATTCTTTATTTCTATGACATTACTATTACATGTTTTAGAAATAATAATATTATATACTTTATTGACGTTACATTTTTAATTTTACTGTACATTTTGTGTCTGTAGTCAAATGTAGTATTCATTTATATTTAATAATTATCTATTTAATTTTTATTTAAATATTTAAAATCTGTAATAAAATGTTTTTTATAATATTTATTAAAATATCTATATAAATCATTTTATTTCAATATTTTAAATCATGTCAAATTTACATGCGGTAAGATATTTTTGTCAGTAATGAAATGTATATTTTTAATATTAATTTCTATTCAATATTTATTAAAATATCCATATAAAGGATTTTAATATATATTTATTATAATTAATATTATTCTTTATTTCTATGACATTACTATTACATGTTTTAGAAATAATAATATTATATACTTTATTGACGTTACATTTTTAATTTTACTGTACATTTTGTGTCTGTAGTCAAATGTAGTATTCATTTATATTTAATAATTATCTATTTAATTTTCATTTAAATATTTAAAATCTGTAATAAAATGTTTTTTATAATATTTATTAAAATATCTATATAAATCATTTTATTTAAATATATTTATATATATATTTAAATAAAAAACTTTATATATATATATATATATATATTACAAAACTAAAAATATTATTTAAATTATATATATATATATATATATATATATATTATTTAAATAATTTAAATAATATTTTTAGTTTTGTAAATATTTTACTAAAGATTAAAATATAATTAAATATAAATAAATAATCAAACATAATTAAACTTAATTACTCACTAAATAAATATAGAAATGTAAATATAAATAAGTGAGCAGTAATGCATATGAATGTTGACAGGTATGACGTCAGAACCATGTGCTGGTGCATGTGAGACACCTGTGTGAGTGAGTGTGTGTGTGTGTGTGAAGCGCCTCACTGACGCTGCTGTGGAAACACCAGTGAAGCTCACAGCTTTTGTTCGACTGGAGCAGAATCAGGGAATCAGGGGAATGTTGGTATTCCCGGGAATGTGTTCCCTGACGGCTCAATGGACCACCGAGGCCTCGGGACTGACCTTTGACCTTCAGAGGTGACCACCCTCTGACTGATGCAGTTCACAACATTCCCTCGGAGCTGTCAGGTGTGTGTGTGTGAGAGAGCGAGTAAAGTCTCATTTATAATGTTATATATGAGCTTCTGTGTGGTTGTCCACGTAATTACACATGCAGAGGGAGCGTGTGAAACCCGAGGGAGGGGCTCTAGCGGACCAATCACAGTGCTCACATCCGCGTAGAATGACGCGTTGTTACATTTTTGGAGAGGTGCGCGTCAGGGTACGCCGACGGGTACGCGCGCTACACACACACAACAGCTACGCGTGAGGTCGACGCTGGACTTGAAAGTGAGTGAGTGTGAGTGAATGTGTGTGTGTGTGTGTGTGTGTGTGTGTGTGTGTGTGTGTGTGTGTGAGTGAGTGAGTGAGAGAGAGAGAGAGAGAGAGAGAGTGTGTGTGTGAATGAGTGAGAGAATGTGTATGTGAGTGAGTGAAAGTGTGAGTGAATGTGTGTGTGTGGAGGGTCATGATGGTAGTATGGAGGCTATGTGTGTGTGTGTGTGTGTAGGGTGTGAAGGGGCATGGCTGACTGATTAACCTTTGACCTCTGGGCCTCCCAGGGTGAGAAGGCAGTGAACGAAGTCAATGCTGATCGACACTAATACCTCCATTCAGCAGCGGCGCACTAACACACACCGGCAGACACAAAAACACCACAAATCACTGCCACACACACACACACACACACACATCCCAGACCGTCAAACACACATCTCACATGAACTTTACACACCGCAGCATCTTCATCACACACACACAATACCACTCATCAAATTATTCACACATGAGGAGAAACATATTAAACTGTATTAATAGTAGAGTTTAAATGAGTGATGCCGAGGACACGGGTTCAAATCTGTGTGTGTGTGTGTAAATAGATATAATAAATATTAGTACTATTATTTTGACAAAAAAAACTTTGTTTTTCTAATTGGTTGTGTGTGTGTGTATAATAAGTATTATTACTATGATTTTGAAGGGTGTTTCTGTAATGGTTGTTACTAATCCTCTTATATACACATATGCATGTGTGTGTGTGTGTGTGTGTGTGTGTGTGTGTGTGTGTGTGTGTGTGTGTGTGTGTGTGTGTGTGTGTGTGTAATAAGTATTCTTAAAAGCATCAGCAGAAGGAAATATAAACTGCATTATTCCTAATGATAAAAACTCAAATCTCAAAGTTCTGTGACTGGAAAATAACCATTTACAATAGAAAATAAAGTGTTACGTATAATAACTATACTATGTTTGTGACATTTAACAAATAAAGTAAAAGAAACATTATAATAATATATAATATATCTATATATATATATAAAATAGTGTAATGTGCTCACTAAACTGTTCTGCATTTCTGTTAAAAACTTTCCACTTATTGACACATTTGGTTCTCTCTCTTCACACACACACACACACACACAGCTCTCGCTCGCTCTCTTTCAGCCTGTTGTTCTGGGAAAAGCCAAAAGGGAAACATTTAGCCGGAGTCTCTTTGAGCCGGCTGACAGTTGACTGATGACCATCCATAAAGTGACAAAGAATAGTTGTGTGGCGTCCAGAACGCCCGGCGCTTCCCCCTGGGAAACTAATTGCCCTGAATTGTTAACGGCAACATTATTTTTCTGCCAATCACGGCTTTTCAATGGGCCAAAAATGAGCATGAAACAAGCCTTTTGACTGAACAGAAAAGTTAAATGTCTCCAATGTTGATCAAATTAACTTCAGCGGCCTGACAATGGACTATATTTGTGTGAAAATAAAAGCCGGGCACAAAGGGGCTCTTTTAGCCCAGATTTCACAGTTGTGATGTAAAACCGCTGTGGCCTGAACCTGAGCACATCTCCTGAAAGGAAGAGCAAATGGGAACATATCTGGACACACAATAGACAGCAGGAACTGATCCGTGTCGCGTCCAAACCACACAAATATCACACATGCATGAGCGTTTGGCTCCAATTATCAAATGTTTGTGATAGCGGACGCTTTACAAGCGGACGGGGTTATTATTAACAAACACTCAAACACTGGTAACTTCAATAGAACGTTATTAATAATGCTATTTATACATCAGTCATGGAATGTTTTCTCTGGAATGTTTCAGGTGGACATTTTTTAAATGTAACTTGTTTTGGAATGTTCAGAGAACGTTTTAAAGTAACATTCCACTAATGTGTGAAGAATTAAAAAGAATAAAAAGTAACGTTCCATTAATGTGCGAAGAATAAAAAGTAACGTTCCATTAATGTGCGAAGAATAAAAAGAATTAAAAGTAACGTTCCATTAATGTGTGAAGAATAAAAAGTAACGTTCCATTAATGTGTGAAGAATAAAAAGTACGCCTGATAAACAATGAATGCATTATAAGAATGAAAAGTCACATTCCCTTAAAGGTGACGTACTGTATTACGCCCCTTTCACTTTTTGATGTAATATAAATGTATGGTGTGAAATATCAGCTCAAAATAACCTGATTTATTATAGCATGATCATTTATTATAGCAGGTTAAAATGGACACTTTTGTGTGTGAGAAAAAACACACTGTTTTTGTGTGTCCCTTTAAATCTGAACATTCCAAAACAAGTTACATTTGAACACACAAAACACAATCAATGGAATGTTACTTTTCATTCTTCACACATTAATGGAATGTTACTTTTAAATGTTCTCTGAACATTCCAAAACAAGTTACATTTAAACACATCTTTTGTCTGTCCAAATGTAACTTGGAATGTTCAGATTTGCATTTAAAGGGACACACAAAAACAGTGTTTTTTTCTCACACACAAAAGTGTCCATTTTAACCTGCTATAATAAATGATCATGCTATAATAAATGAGGTTATTTTGAGCTGATATTTCACACCATAGATTTATATTACATCTAAAAGTGAAAGGGGCGTAATACAGTATCTCACCTTTAAGGGAATGTGACTTTTCATTCTTATAATGCATTCATTGTTTATCAGGCGTACTTTTTATTCTTCACACATTAATGGAATGTTACTTTTTATTCTTCGCACATTAATGGAATGTTACTTTTTATTCTTCGCACATTAATGGAACGTTACTTTTTATTGTATATGTTTTTTCTCACACACAACACGTGTCCATTTTAACCTGCTATAATAAATGCGGTTATTTTGATCTGATATTTCACAGTCACAGTGTTAAGCTAATAGTGTGTTCATCTGTCCAGCGTACTTTTCATTCTTCACACATTAATGGAACGTTTCCTTAAAGTTTGTGTAACCAAGAAAAAAAGGATGTAAAACATTTGGACGTTTTCAAACAACATCCAGAAAACATTGATCTGAAGGTGTGTGTGTGTGTGTGTGTGTGTGTGCACAAGCCCAGCTCTGCATCTCAAGTGACCACACAGAGCGAACGGGACAGACACACGCATTACTAGCTCCACCTGGGGAAAAGGTTAGAGCGAGATGAATGCATGAGAGAGAGAGAGAGAGAGAGAGAGAGAGAGAGAGAGAGAGAGAGAGAGAGAGAGAGGGAGAGAGAGAGAGAGGGAGGGGGGCAGGAGTTACAGCGCGGGCACAATAGCCGAGAGCCGGTTCCCAACGAGCGCTGAATGGAGACTCTGTTGGAGGTACGGGTGTTTCTAAAGGCTGTTCAGCACATTGTCCCGCTCGATCACAACAGGAGAATAGAGTTACTGGAGCTGCCAAAGGTTAGAAAGAGCCCGCGTTTATTCACTCTGTGTGTGTGTGTGTGTGTGTGTGATTCACTGCTTTGGGGGAAGGAGTTTCCCACTCGAGGGGACATCCTCACACAGAACACACACTTCACACTCAGCGGTTACCTCTCAGGGAGACCCGATTCCTCATGACACGCACAGAGAGTAAGTGTGTGTGTGTGTGTGTATATATGGTTTTTTTTATCCCGGTGGGGACTGGAGTCACTGTGGGCCGGTCCCCATGGGTAAACACACTTATAAATTATTATTTTTTTAATGTAAAAATGCAGAATGTTCCTGTGATGGGTAGGTTTGTGTGTGTGACAATCTTCTGAAAGCCTGCAATGAAACCTCTCTCCACTTTGAATAAATGCATGCAAACGCTCCGCATGCGTTCTCAAGCAATCGGACGTCTCATGAATTATGTTCCGCTTTTATGTCTCAAAGATCATATTTTTCCACTCAGGCCTTGGGCTCCTCAGCCAATCAGAGGCCGGAGTGTGTCTAATGGACAGCGCAGATGAAGAGTTTATCACGCCATCAGTCACGCTGAGTTACGGCCGTAATGAAGTTTGAAAAGGACCTCTCGTGTTGCTTACATCGAGGGTTTTAACTGTACTGTTGCTCATTTGGGGCTGATTTATAAACTCCTGCGATACATTTATATTCATCTCAGAAACACTTGATTTTCCCCAATAAAAATAATCCAGGTCACTTTCAGCCCCAAACTCCTCTGTGTGTGTCATGAGGAATTCAGTCGCCTTGAGTGTAAAACACACACACACACACTCTCTCTCTCACTCACTCACTCACTCACTCACACGCACACACTCTCTAGCTCACACACACACGGGCCTCACCTGTCCAGCACGAAGCCGAGAGCTTTCTGTCGTGTGCCTGTATAAACCGAGGGACTCTTTTCCCACGCAACCAAGTTCGAAGCGTCGTGGAACAGGTGGATGTTCACCAGGTCAAAGGCACTGAGGAGAGAGAGAGAGAGAGAGAGAGAAAACGTCATTAACTATCTTCCTGCAACACATTCATGATCACGGGTCCACAATGTTGGTTAATGGTCACATGACATGCACCTTTAAGTGTTTTAAGTTTTAATTATTTATTTTATTTTGATTGTTTTATTTAAGTGTTATTTATTAATTAATTTATATATATTAAATATTTCATATATTTTTATTTTATTTTAATGGTATTTTATTATAACATTATTATTATAGTTTTATTTTTAAAATCTTATATTTTAGGAAATGTTTATTTAAATGTATTGTTTTTATTTTCAAGCATTTATTTTGTTTTTAATTATCAATCATTTATTTTTATTTACTGGGAGGTGATTTTTTTTAAATTATAAAATTTAAATTATTTATTGTCTTTTATTGTGATAGATTTTATTTGAATGTTTTCTTAAATTTTTTCTATAATTTTTTTCCTTCATTAAAGTGTGATGTAATAGAATACCTTCATAATGTGAATCTGCTCTGATTAATATGTAAATGAAGCCGTTTCTGTCCTGTAGAACCAGTGAAACCAGCAGGCCAGTTTACGAGTGACACGATCCCAGTGTGACTAAACCTGTTACCCCTCCATCACCCTTTCATTGCTCTCCTCTCATCCCTCGCTCTAGTTCTCGTGTCATCCTTCTATTACATTACCCTCTCTCTCTCTCTCTCTCTCGCACAGGTCCGGCTGCATGTAATGCTCAGTGTCATCTGTCATAAGGAACTGCTGGGCTAACGTGATTATCCCTGATCTAATCGTGCGGTTCGGACTGTAGAAACGAGCGGAGCGCGAGTGGACGGAGACTCGTTACAGGTGCGGATCTCCTTAACGAACGAGGATCCTGATGAACATACTCATTACTCTCACACCCGAACACGAGTATCAACTATGGAATTAGACGATGAATGTTTTAAGAACTATAGTGTATTTAAAGGTTTACGAAACTTTTTTATCGTTTTGTTTTTGTCATCCCTGTGATATTTAAAATGAATATTTCCATAATTTAACAACACATTCACGGTTTTCTAATCAGTTAATAGTAACATGACATGCAGGTGAGCAGATAAAACATTAAATCAGTCAAAATAAAACAGTTTTAAATGTTAGCTAAATTTTATTTTTATTTAAAAAGCAAAAAAAAAATTGTGTTTTATATTTGTTTTTTATTTAAAATAATTTTAATTATATTTTTAGTAAGTACTTTGTTTCTGTTCAATTATCTATAATATTTACATTTTAAAAAATCATGTTTAGTAAGCATTTTATTTAGACTGCTTTTGTTGTAAATTATAATTTTTTTCATTTAATTTATTTTAAAAAATAGTAAGTGCTTTTATTTTAATTGTTTCCATTTTAAATGACTTTATTTTAAATTTAATTTGACAAATTTAGTGTTTCATATTTATTTAATTTATTTTTAAATAATTATTTTATTTTAAAACTCATATTTTAGTAAGTGCTTAATTTCGAATGTTTTTATTTTCAAGTATTTATTTAATTAAATAAAAAATCCTGTTTTAATAAGTGTTTTATTTTGATTGCTTTGATTGCTAAATGATTAATGTTGGTCCAAGTGTCCGGTTCTGGCATGATTTGTTTATCGCATCATATAATAATGAATATAGAGTTGTGAAGGCTCACTGATGGTTTATGATCTCTCTCTCTCAATTCAATTCAATTCAATTCAGAGAGCTTTATTGGCATGACAAAAGCATCAAAACAACATAGAAAAAGATGTAGAACATTTAATACACAACATAATAATCATAGTTCAATGAAATTAAAAGGATAATATCATTATATATAATAATTCTAATTAAATAAAAAGGATTATAATACACAAATCATGTGTATAAAAAATATTTAAAAACATTCTGAACTTGGACTTGAACATTATATACTTATGTGTAGGTCTGATGGGGTGTCTCTCTCTCTCTCTCTCTCTCCCACTCCCTCCCCCTCTCTCCTCTCTCTCTCTATCTCTCTCTCTCACTGTCTCTCTCTCTTTCTCTCTCTCTCTCTGGTTTCGGGGGTCTAGGACTCACCAGTCTCCCAGAGTCCACCGGGTTCTGATGAAGCCTTTTCTGGACCACTTGCACTGCAGGAAGAGAGGAACACACATGAACACACACGACACACACATTCACAGTCTCTCATGTCTTCTGAACCGATTGAATGTGTTTCCCCAGTTTGAGCAGAATCTGTCCCGTCTGCTGTTAACTCTATCGTGTAGCTTTAGCAGACTGAGCTCTGATGGAGAGGAAGATCCAATCAGGAGGCTGATCTCAGTCACATGACCCTGAACGTTATTAAATGCGAAACAGATTGATGCTATGAGTGTCCTCATTACCAATGCAAAGAAAAATAAATAAATAACCTCTCTCTCTCTCTCTCTCTCTCTCTCTCTCTCTCTAATGGGGAGTCACTGCGGCGATGAATAAACTAATTACTGGCCGGGTCACATAATTACAAATTGACTAAATTTATTTAAAAACTCTGATGCAAATGAAAGGCCTGAGAGAGATTTGATTGCTCCTCACATCTTTCAGCCGCATTAGGACCAGATTAACTCTATCAAATTCAATTGCATTTGCATACTTGAGTTAATATAGAGCTAGAGCGAGCCGGCGCATGATGATGTCAATAACACACATTTCCTCAAGAGAACATCATATCTCACACACACACAAACAGCACTGACACACTAGAATAGAATAGAATAGAATACAATACAATAGAATAGAATAGAATAGAATAAGTCGTTTATATAGAACACACCAAAGGCCTGACGAACTATTCTTTCAAATGTGGATACAACCCAATAAAATAAAAATGTATTAGATTTTGAAAATTGAATAAAATAAAATAAACTAATAAAATCAAATATTCATTCAAATATGGACAGAAAACAATAACCCAATAAAATAAGACAAAATTTCAAAAATTAAAATAAATAATAAAATATTCCTTTAAATAAGGAGAGAAAACAATAACCCAATAAAATATGATTAATTAAATTAGATAAAATAAATAAAATAAAAATAAATGCATAATGAAACTGGGTCAGTGTAAAGGTCAGGCGTGAGTGTGTGTGTGTGCGTGTGACAGTGATGAACGGACGGGTCCAGTGACCAGCGATCGGTTCTGATGCTCCAGGTCTATAATCTCATCTCTGGCGTCCAGTGGCCGATTCACCCTCCATCAAACATCACACACACACGTCACGGGCCGGTCCAGAACGCTCACACACACTGACCTTTCTGCCACTGCGCTTGAGAGATCTGCACCGCTCATAAATAACACACACACACACACAGGCTGAGTAATAACTAATAAACACGAGGGGTGATTGATGAAGAGCGGCACAGAAACCCCCCATCTGTCTCTGTTCTATCATCCGGCTCAGATTAAACAAGACATCCTCCACTGAAGGACAACAGGCCGGAGCAGTGCACTGTGGGTAATGCACACCGGACCAGAGCAGTGCACTGTGGGTAATGCACACCAGACCAGAGCAGTGCACTGTGGGTAATGCACACCAGATCGGAGCAGTGCACCGTGGGTAATGAACATCGGACCAGAGCAGTGCATATGACCATAAGTCATGTGACCATAAGAAAACCATGAACATGTAAATGTGTTGTAAAATTATGAAAATATTAATTTTAATATCTCAAGTGAAAACATTTGATCTCAAAGAGCTTTGACTGAAAACCCTGCAGGAAAATAGCAAGTCTTCCAGTTCTACTTACATTTTTTTGTAATATTTCCAGAATAAATAATTAGGGATGGTCACTGGATATGAAAATATGTTTAAAAAAAGTATTTTAAAACGCAATATAATCTAATTAGAAGTTTGTAATCGGATTACGTCACATCTGGCCAGATTATCTCATAAATCATAAATCTCAGGTGTGATCGAACAGGAGAAAACACATCCCTCAACCTGCAGCAGCACGAAACACACGCGCGAGCAGACGCTAAAAGCGGCCGGGACATCGGTCCAAACACTCGGTCCCGTCCCGGTTAATAGGATTCCTGTAGGGAACAGATGGATGGCGAATCCGGGCGGTTTCATCTACTAAAAGTCGGCATAAATCACGGATGAAGCCGAGGTTATCGCCAGCCTGAGGAACCTGCATTAAAGCATTAGTGAAATTAATTCATCTTTCATAAGAGGTTCGAGCCGTATCTGTGATCTACGATAACAACCAATTTCTCAGTACTGAGCGCGTGTGTGTGTGTGTGTGTGTGTGTGTGTGAGAAAGCCCTTGATAGACTACACAAATCTGCTGCTTTAAACGGGCTAACATTATGAGGAGTGATGTTCTCCTGAGAGTCGCACGAGATTCATGAGACGAACATAAATCAATACGCAAACTTTTCTCCTTCTGTTTTGCGTCTGAACGCCGGTTGTTGGTGTGTCGTGTGTGTGTGGACGTGATGGTTTTCTCGTCGTGTGGAGATGCGGCTCGCATCGGAGATTAAGTGGAGACAGTGTAAATCTGTATCAGCGCGTGAAAGAAAAGCTGTTTCTGCATATATTTACTGTTCCTCTGAGGAACTGAAGCAGAGAGAGAGAGAGATACACACGCTTTATTAATACATCAGCCCTACTGTCACACACACACAAGCTCACTCACTCACTCACACACACACAGACACACACACACAAGCTCACTCACTCACTCACACACACACACCTGATCATCTGAAATCTGTAATTCCCTCTAACTGTACAAACAGGATCAGGACATCCATAAACTAAATAATAATTACTTCAATATTCCATTAATTTCCGAGATATAAACACCTTTAAAAACTTACAAATAAAACAGTTAAATATAATTCTATGTAACTTTTGAAACATCTTTTCATATTATATCTGAATTTATTTTTTATTCATAGTGAATTATTTCAAATTAATATTAAAATAAACCAAAAAACAGAAGAACGGTCATGTGACGCAGCAGCAGAACGGTCATGTGACGCAGCAGCAGAACGGTCATGTGACGCAGCAGCAGAACGGTCATGTGACGCAGCAGCAGAACGGTCATGTGACGCACCAGCAGAACGGTCATGTGACGCAGCAGCAGCAGAAGGGTCATGTGACGCAGCAGCAGAACGGTCATGTGACGCACCAGCAGAACGGTCATGTGACGCAGCAGCAGCAGAAGGGTCATGTGACGCAGCAGCAGAACGGTCATGTGACGCAGCAGCAGAACGGTCATGTGACGCAGCAGCAGAACAGTCATGTGACGCAGCAGCAGAAGGGTCATGTGACGCAGCAGCAGAACGGTCATGTGACGCAGCAGCAGAACGGTCATGTGACGCACCAGCAGAACAGTCATGTGACGCACCAGCAGAACGGTCATGTGACGCACCAGCAGAACGGTCATGTGACGCACCAGCAGAACGGTCATGTGACGCAGCAGCAGCAGAAGGGTCATGTGACGCAGCAGCAGAACGGTCATGTGACGCACCAGCAGAACGGTCATGTGACGCACCAGCAGAACGGTCATGTGACGCAGCAGCAGAAGGGTCACGTGACTCACCTCCGGGAAATAGTCCTGAGGAAACTTCTCCTTCTCCAGCGAGCCTGAGCTCAGAGCGTCACAGTGGACCTCCTTCCCCAACACCTTCTTGAACTTCTTGGCTGAAACACAACACAAGCTGATCATCATGTGAACATGCAGACACACTCATTAGAGTACGAGCTCAGGGCAACTGCGCCACCTACTGCTGAAAGAGAAACGAGGAATCAATCCTGATAAGCTTCTCTTATATCTGATGTCATTTTTTCATTTACAGTCTTCAAAGCTCAACTTATAATGCAAAACCACGGGGAAAAAAGAAAAAAAATGTGTTTATATACAAACATACTTGTATTTACTTTTGAGTTTTTAATAATTCTCATTGTAATTTTTTTTAACTATATTTTTTTTTACATTTATATCAGCATAAATTAAACAAATATAAACTAAGGGAAAAGGAAAAAAATAATACTATGTGTAATTGCATTAGAATTATTATATATTAATATAAATGCAATTTCCATTAGAGTAATACAGTGAAAGTATATTTTACTTTTTAACCTCTTTCAGTTATAAATTAAACCATGATTTACAAATCCCCCCAATTTAATTTTTAGTTTGTTTTTTAAAGACCCTTTCCAGTCTGAAAGGTATGATGTGATGTCAGTCGTGTGGTTTGATGAAGAGTGTGATCACGGGTCTGAGCCGGTCCGGCTAATGCTAATGCTGACACCGGTGTAATGGGAGTGGCTTTAATTAGTGTGACCGCCGGGACACGCGACCTCTGACCCCTACCGCTGATGAGGTCACCGCTGCTAACTGTCCAATAGCTTGAGTGCACTATTACCACAGCCTGAAATCTCATGAATTAAATCCTAATATTAATAAGCATTACTGTTTCCTATCGGCAACTCCGTCTGCGCATGTTTTATAGCTTCTGGAACAACCTTGACCGCCGCTTTTGATGGGATTGATTAAAGAGACACACGTACCTTTGAAATCAAACTGTTGGATGTTTTTCAAGGATTCATGGAGGAAGTAGCAACACCCAAGAGCCTGAAACACACACACACACACACACAGAGAGAGAGTTCATATTACACAATAACATCTTAAAGCAGCGCTGGGTTTCTGATCTCTGGTCTGTGTGTTCAGAGGCCAAAAAAGGTGCAATTTTTAATTATTTCATTATAATTCATGGGCAACGATTAATCTCATGTGTTCTGTTTATAATTATTTTGTATATATAAATGCACACACATGCATGCATATATTTATGAAAAATGTGTTTTATATATATATATATATATATATATATATATATATATATATATATATAAAATAAATTATGCTTTAAAATATTGTATAATATGCATTAAAATATGTATTTCTTAAATGTATACATAATTACACAGCACATACACATATATTATAACAAACTGTTATTTTAGACGTAGATTAAATATACACCAAATAGTGTGTACAGTAACATTCATAAATATGCAATTACAGCAAAAACGTATCAACCAACAAAATATCAATCTAAGTAATATAATAATAGTCTTATATGAAATTATATTTCTCTATATAGTCTCTTCTGCTCACCAAAACTACACTTATTTGATGAAAAATACAGTAAAACTGAAATATTATTCTAATGTAAATCATCTGTTCTATGTGAATAAACAGTAAAGCTGAATTTATCATCATTACTCCAGTCTTTAGTGTCACATGATCCTTCACAAATCACTCTAATATGAGGATCTGATACTCAAGACACAGTTATGATTATTATCAGTGTTAATCACAGTTGTGCTGCTTCATGTTTTTGTTCTTATTAAGACGCCACACACACACACACTCTCAAACACATCTAAAATATGAACTTTTAAGGTCAATAATGATGAGTTTTAGTGAGAGCAGGTGTGATTTCATACGTTCACGTGTTTATGTATAACCCAACCCGACAATATTCATCTTATGAATATGAAGAAAGGCTTGATTTTCCTCGACTCTTTTCTTATGTAACGAGTTCACGGCGCTCAAATATAACATGTAAATTATAGCGGGAGCCGATTCCGTCAAAGCGCCCGATCTGAGCCGCTCAAAAGCAGTCCGAGTTTAGCATGACCAAAGATTTACTTCAATAGGATTATATTCTTAATTTTTACTGAACAATCAGACAGTTTCGGTGTCTGTCCACGGACAAACCCAGAAGCGCAAGGCGCCGGGGATTTGATGCGGTTCACAGTTCACTAACTGCTTTTCTCAAGGGCTTTTGCACCTCCAGTCCTCAAGTTGGCCTAAAAGAGAGCAAAACCTGCCCAGAACTGTGAGCTAATGCTCTCAATAGTGGCGTAAAGCCCACGTCCCAGAAGAAGAGAATACAGTTACAGACACAATAGAAGTGAATGGCCATCTGACGCTCTCAGGTTCTCTCTGCTTCACTGATCCTCACACACACCAAAGAGCAAAACCAACACTCGCCGAGATCCCAGCGCGAGGGAAAGCCGCCGCTACGCGCCAGTCCTCTGGCGACTCTATTAGCAGTTTGCCGAAGTCTTATCATTCTCTAAGGTAACGTATTACTGCCCATCATGAGTACCTGTGATGACCGCGTCGACCTCCTGCCGCTGGGTTTTAATATTATGATTGTATTCAAAAAAATATATGTTAATGACTAAAACCATCTTTACTGCAGATGAAATATGATGTGGACAGCATTGAATAAATATCTTTTCATCAGGTTAGATGCTAATAATGAATCACTCAAACCCTAACTGTGCTTTTGAACACTTTTACACGTGTTTGTAGTTCTAATCGAATCCTCTCGTCCACAGCGCAATGGGTTGTGGGTAATATTAGCCGTTAGCGTGTTCACATATCTGAAACTAATTCTCTTTTCAAACACTATTAGCACGGACAGTCTGCGAATTGGGACGCGCCAAAGAGCTCAGCCATGCAAAGCCTTGTGGGTAAGCATGAGAACGAGGAGGTTCTGTTGGACCGGCGCTGAGGGATTGTGGGTAACACACCACCTCATGCATTATTTATGAGCGCCGGCTCATCTTGAGATTAAACATTTGCTGATTTGTCAAAAGCACAAACAGAGGGTCTCGCTCGCGCCGGCCCGAACCCGCCCGCACATTTAATTGATGAGAACGTTCCCTCGGCGACCCGGATGGCCCGACGGAGGAGAAGAAGAGGAGGAGGAGGAGGAGAACGTGACGGGATGAAGGTCAGCTTCCAGGAAAGGAGTGTTTATTTCTGTTAGCTTTAGTTTATGTGCGTTTTCACCTCAAACTGCCACTGAGCGAGTGAAGAGAGACGGAGACGCCCATCTCACACAAGCACTGTATGAACCCACCAGACAATCAATAAAACACATCCATTCACAGAAGATCTCGATACAGATCCGCGTTTATGGAGAGATTTGACTTAAAGTGCACCTATTGTGCTCGAGTTCATTATTTAGCACATTTATAAACCGGTTGCTAGTGTTTTAGCGACTACGAACATGTTCACATGCAGCTAATGTCCTCATAATCTCTTCTCTGTGTCTGAAACGCTTCCAGTGAAGATTCAGTCTCTCTAAGCCCCGCCTCTCCGAGAGCTGCTGTGCTGTGATTGGTCAGACGGCCCAGTCTGTGATGTGACGAGTGTGTGAAGTTACTGTGTAAGTGAACAGCACATAACAGGCACAAAACCGCTATAAACATCAATATCTATGGGTTCAATGTGCGTCACATGACTAAACTTACATCATCGCTTTCAAATAGTTTGGAGAGGGTTTTCAAAAATCTTTGTTCTTTGTTAAAAATGCGTCTCGTGTGTGTGTGTGCGGAAGGCCAAAACGGAGAGAAAAATATGAGCTTTTTGACCAAGACCTCAGTGTCTGAAACGCTTCGATCGAAGATTCGGTCTCTCTGAGAGCGGCTCTGCAGGGATTGGTCAGAAAGCAAACGCTCAGCTGTGATTGGTCAGAAAGCAAACGCTCATTATCATATCTCTTGATCACAGAGATGCGGACAGCGACGATGGCGTAGGTTTCACCGTATCAATCTCAGAAAACAGACACGAACAACACGAACTCTTCCAGTCTCAGATACACTAGTGTTTAAGGGCGGGGCTAAGAGACGCTGCTCAGCCAATCAAGACCTCAGGCTGACATTATGCAAATGAGTTACAAACTTATGCAGATCCAGCAGGAAGTGAGACAAGCTTTCAATTTTTTACCACTCAGAATTAATGTAAAGTAAACAAGTAATGCTAGTACATGAACGAAAACATTAACTAATAGGACCTTACTGTTAATTGTTGCCACAGTTTATAATGTACTAACCAGGCATTTACTATCACTACCAACACTTTAATGATCAATTAACGTCATTAAAATATGAGATAAGAAAATGTGGATCAAGATTCATTGTAACACTTTACAATAAGATTAATAAACACAGCAACAAATGTGCTGCTGATTGTTAGTTCATGAGTGAATACATTCCCTAATGTTAACTAATCAACCTGATTGTAAAGTGTTACCAATATAAGCATGCAGAATGTGCACTTTTGATCTCTCAGTAAATGCTGAGATTAATATTAATACTCCTCTGAATATAGTGATCAGTAGAGCATTATGAAAGTTATGATTAAGTGTTGATAATCACCACAGCTTGTGTATTATACACACCTCGCACCATCGTCTCATATCCACACACTCGCTCTAATAAATATTAAACATGGGAGTTCAGGCCTCGCCTCTCGTCCGCTCTTCATGAAGAAGCGATTATATCCGCGGCCCGCGATTAATCCGTTTGTCCCGCGCACTGACAGACTGCTAATATTAATTGGAGCCACACGGCGCTGACAGGAAGCGCTTCTCTTTTGAGCTGCGCTTTACAATGGCCGTGTCAGGCGTATGTTCGTCACGTCCCGCGTTATTGATTACCTGTCAGATTCACTTGAAATAATTAAAAGTGTAGTTTACATATTTATAAAGCGGACTGTCACGGGTGCTCCTTAATCTTCCATTAGGAAAATGCACTCTGTAAAGTGCACAGCGCGGGCCGGACGAGGAAATGAGTAATCGCCGTAATTGCAGACAGAAGGACAATAACGAGCCATAAAGGCAGATTTTATTGGCCGCTCTGACAATGCCCGAGATTGGACCGGACCAGAACCAGTCCTGCAGGATCTCTACACACACACACACACTCAGCAAGGCTGCTTTATTTGATCAAAAATACTGTAAAATAGTGAAACACTGTATTATTATAATGTAAATCATCTGTTTTCTATGTGAATATACAGTAAAGTGTAATTTATTCCTGTGATTTTCAGCATCATTACTCCAGTCTTCAGTGTCACATGATCCTTCACAAATCACTCTAATATGAGGATCTGATGATCAACAAACATTTATGATTATTATCAGTGTTGAAAACAGTTTTGTGGAGACCGTGATAAACTACCATTCAAAAGTTTGAAGAAGCTACGATTTAAAAATAATACTTTCATTCATCAAGGATGCATTAAATAAATAAATAATTATAGTGTAACAATTCTGTTTCGAATACAGTAAATGCTGTTCTTTTGATATTTCTACTCATCAAATAATCCTGAAAAATAAAATGTATGACAGTTTCCAGAACATTAACCAGGGTTTTTGTTTGTTTGTTTACCAATAATGCAGATGGAAATGGCACTTATTGATATTTTGGTAACGCTTCCTTTTACAGTCCAGTTACCCATGATAAATACTATGTACTTATTTTAGTAACTGGGTAATAACTAGTACCAACCCTGAACCTACACCTAAACCTACCGTACTTACCTTATCCTAGACAGTACTTTCTAGGTAAGTACACTGTAAGTACTGTACTGTAAAAGGAAGCGGTACCGATATTTTATATTTTTACTTTAGTGCACAAATTGAAAAATTAATGTTATGAAATCACGATTTTATGGTCTGAAGCTGGCTACTTGAATGAAAATCACAAACATGACTCTTGTTAATAAAACTATTTTATGAATTATGTATTAATGGGCAAAAAATG